ACTCGGCCATATGCCCTGACCAGGAATTGAACCGTGACCTCCTGGTTCATGGGTTGATGCTCAACCACTGAGCCACCCCGGCCGGGCTCTTTATGTAATGTACTGATGGATTTGGACTGGGAAGGTTTAGTTAGAACCAACTTCAGAGTCTTTCCAGCGCTACAAAAGGTCACCGTCATGTAAGCTGTGTTGATGCTGTATTGGAAAGCTGTGCGTATGTAAGACAGATTTTATTTATAACCGAATGTTAGCTACGCTCACCAGAACGTTGTTGGATGCTTAGAATTCCTCCACCTACTGGGAGGGCAGCCCCGCCATGGAAGCGCTGCAGCGGATCTACGGGATCTCCTTCCCCGAGAGCAAGATGATGAGAGCCTGGGAGAAGGCCCAGGAGGAGGCCAAGAGCCGGGACCACAGGCGAATCGGGAAGGTGGGCCAGCGTCGCCTTCACCCCTGCGATGGCGCGTGCCTTTGTCGGCTCGCGATTCTGTCCCAAAACTAAATGGTTCCAAAAATAACATTTCTCCTCCTGTGTTCTTAAATAGCTTTTAAAAATATATTTTATTGATTTCAGAGAGGGAGAGGGAGAGAGAAACATCAGTGATGAGAGAGAATCATGGATCGGCTGCCTCCTGCATGCCCCCTACTGGGGATCGAGCCCGCAACCCGGGCACGTGCCCTCGACCGGGAATCGAACCCAGTTCATGGGTCGATGCTCAACCACTGAGCCACACGGGCCGGGCCAGCGGTGAATATTTCTGATCTTTTTGCCGTGTTTTCTCCCCATGACACCCATCCTCCAAGAGGCCAAATAAGAAAGTGGCAGTAAATAGAAGGCGAAGGAAAAGCTACTGTTCAAAGCTTAGTGAGACGATCAATACAAAGGGTCTTCCCATGTGCTGTGCAGGGCAGTGAGGAGGGAGTGTTGAGGGACTTTGGGTGCAATGGTTGGAGAATGGGAATGAGGACCGTGCACATTTCATGTCTAGCGTGTCACGTGTGCAGTGAACGTTAAGCACCCACCGTGGCATTTGACATCCAGTTACGGTTTCATTTCAGGACCAAGAGCTTTTCTTCTTCCACGACCTGAGTCCGGGCAGCTGCTTCTTCCTTCCCAGGGGCGCCTTCATCTATAACACACTGATGGATTTCATCCGCGTGAGTGACTCTCCCTTCCTCTCAGCTCCATCTGGCCTCTTACCCTGTCCTCTCGTGGTCACACGGCCCGGCCTCCCCAGGGACTTTATTTCAGTCCCAGTGAGGATTGGGAGCCTGATGCCGATTGTGCCTCCTCATGAAAACGTTGAGATGATTGGCATTTTCCTAAACTAGATGCATCCTCGGGTTTTACCCAATGCCTCCGCGGTGCCTGTAAGCTTCTAGAGCAGGTGCAGCGCGGAGGTGAGCGTCAGACGCCGTGAGGGGCTCCTCCTGGGAGAGAGCAGGGGGTCGTGCTGGCACAGGATGCTCAACCAGAAGCACTGCTGGTCACTGCGGCCCGGGGGTCACGGGGCCCCTTCGTCGTCTGGTGTGACCGGGCAGCCCCAGAGCAAGGAGGGAAAGAGTTCTGTGAGATGCTCGGTTGCAGTACACGCGCAGGTGAGAGTCCGTCCGGGACCGTGTGCTGTGGCTGCTGCTGCGGGCGACCACGTGGACTGCTGGGGTGGCGCTCCCCTTCCTGCGCTCTGTCCTTATCGTCACTAACCACCTACACGTTCCCTGACTCCGCTCCCCGAGCGCCTGTCACTGGTTCACCCTCCGCTCCCTGCCAGCACCGGGAAGCCCTGCGGCACATGCTGATGACCTGGGCGTCTCTCGGTGATTCTGTTCCCACTGGGGTCTTCTCGCCCCGGAGTGAGGGCTTCAGACGTCTTCTTGCCGTCATCCCGGCTGCGCCCCTCATCGCCGTCCTGTGCTCATGCTCTTCTCTCCTGCTGGCGCGTCTTCCTCCTCCTTGCTTCGCCCTCTCATTTGGGGAAGCACTTTCTTCAAGAACTTCCTGATGAGCCCGCCCGGCGTGGCTCCGTGGTTGAGCGTCAACCTATGAACCAGGATGTCAGGGTTCGATTCCCGGTTAGGGCGCGTGCCTGAGGTGCAGGCTCCATCCCCAGTAGGGGGCGTGCAGGAGGCGGCTGATCCATGATTCTCTCTCATCATTGATATTTCTCTCTCTCTCTCTCCCTCTCCCTTCCTCTCTGAAATCAGTAAAAATATATATTTTCTTAAAAAGAAGAACTTCCCGGGGACAGAGCACGTCGCATGTGCTGGTGGTTCTGTCTGAGGCACTAGACTCGTTTTGTCCCCTCTTCTCGCGCTGCCCCCCTGGACGCTGCCCGCGCTGGACTCGCTCACCTGGGCTGCGCGTCTTTCCTAGGGGCTGGCCCCCGTGAAGCCGTAGGAGGCGATCAGAGGGCAGGGAGGCGAGGCTTGAGGAATCACTGACTGATCAGAGGCACCAGCGGCGGCGAGGACCATCTTTGCTGGGAAAGCATCCCGGCCCCTGGCACCTGGAACTCTCCAGGCTGCGGGAGGAGCGCGGAGACGAGGCGGAGCCTCCGGGGCGGCCTTACAGGATCTCTTATCTCTCGTAGATGCGACACAGACCTGGCTGGGGGCGGCCCCAGGTCTCACTGTGTGAGGTGCAGGGTGCAGCCCTTTAGACACACAGCCCCAGGCCTCTCGTGCCAAGGTAAGGGTGCCGGGGGGAGGCCTGCGCCCGCGTCGTGGGATGGGCCTGTGGGGCAGACGCAGCCTAGGTGGATGCCGTGAACGCCCAGGTACCCTTGGCGGAAGGCAGTGGCCTGTGCATGCAGCACACACATAAAGCTGCAAAATCTGCCCGGCCAGCGTGGCTCAGTGGTTGAGCGTCGACCTATGAACCGAGAGGTCACGGTTCCTTTCCTGGTCAGGGCACATGCCCGGGTAGTGGGCTCCATCCCCAGTAGGGGGCGTGCAGGAGGCAGCCGATCCATGATTCTCTCTCATCATTGATGTTTCCTTCTCTCTCTCCTCCTCCCTTCCTCTCTCAAATCAAGAAAAAGATATTTTAAAACACACACACACACACAACGAGTGGCCTAAAGCAGGAACGTGTCCTCTGCTGACCTGGAGGCGGGAAGCGTGAAATCCAGGCGTTGGCAGAGCCGTGCTCCCTCTGAGACCCGCGGGGAACCCGTCCTCCCGGCCCTTTCCCAGCCAGGGGTGGGGTGTCAGTCACCGCTGGGCTTCCTTGGCGTGTCAGTGCCTCACTCCAGTCTCCTGCCTTCCCTTGGCATTCTCCCTGCGTGTCTTCACGTCATCTTCCTCTACGTGATTTTCATTCTCTCTCTCTCTCCCCCTCTCCTCTTCCCCCTCCTCTCTCTCTCTCCAAACCTCCTCTTCTTATGAGGACACCAGTCCCATTGGATTCAGACCCACTCCAATGACCTCCTCTGAACTTGACCCCCTCGATAAAGACTGTTTTCAAATAAGGTCGCATCCCGAGCTCCCACCTCGCTTCTTGGTGGGAGGGATACACTCCACCCGTGACTGTGGGCGACCCCCATCTTCTCCCCAGAGGACGGGGTTCTCAGCGGGCCTGTCTTTACCGGGTCGCTGGGGCCCTCCGCCGGCCGTTGTTGGATATGGAAGCGCTTGAGGCTCCTCCCTGCACCCCAGACGCAGTCCTCATCTACTGTGTGTCAGTGTCCCCAGGAATCGGGGCCCGTCATCCTGGCCAGAGAGCCAGGCGTTCTCTGCCTGTGGGTCCGTAGCATCGGGGCCCCACGTGGGCAAGGGGCAGGTCTGGTGTCGGGGTTTTGTGTGGGAAAGCATGCTGTCCTTGGCCACTGTGCACATTGCTGAGAGAGAAAGAAAATACTCTGAAAGCTTCCCGAGAGAGAAAGCCGTAGACGTGGCACTGGGTATCAGAATGGCAAGGGTATTTTCCATAGGAGACAGATCAGTGCCTTAAACATGTGGGTCCTACAGCCTGGCCGGTGTGGCTCAGTGGTTGAGCATCAACCTATGAACTAGGATGTCGCGGTTCAATTCCCAGTCAGGAGCACATGCCCGGGTTGCAGGCTTGATCCCCAGTGTGTGGCGTGCAGGAGGCAGCCGATTGATGTTTCCGTCTCATCGATGTTCCTATTCCTCTCTCCCTCTCCCTTCCTCTCTCTGTAAAAATCACTTTTTAAGAAATCTCAATAATAATAACTGTGGGTCCTAGAAGCCCCTGTCAGCTGACGCAGGCCTCCTTCAGACCCTCCCGTGTGGTTGCAGCTCTCCCAGCCGGCGGAGGCGACCCTGACCCGCCTTCCTGACCCTAAAGAACGTAGCTTTCCTCCTCTCCTTTCCCGCGGCCTTGAGATCTGTGCTTTTATAAATGCTCTCTGTGTAGTATCCAGCTCCTAAGTCACAAAGAATTAAAGCATCAAGTACTGTCGTGATAGACACACTTCACATGAAAGACAGAGAGAGTGCGTTCATCTCTCACGATCCGAAGGGACCACCCCCAGCACTGCGGGCACGCTCGTCACACGTGCACACGAGGTGACCCCGCGTCCACACGGCGTGCTCGCTGTCGGACTCTGCCTGGCCTTGACCTCTCCATGCCTTTCTCGCAGGAGGAGTATCACCGCCGGGGCTTCACGGAAGTGCTCTCTCCCAACGTGCTCAACAGCCAGCTCTGGGAGGCCTCCGGCCACTGGCAGCACTACAGCCAGAGCATGTTCACCTTCCACGTGGACAAGGACACGTTTGCCCTCAAACCCATGAACTGCCCAGGGCACTGGTGAGTATTAACCAGCAAGCAGGCCCGGCCGGTGTGGCTCAGTGGGTTGGGTGTCCTCTGTGCACCGAGAGGTCCATTCCCAGTCAGGGCACATGCCTGGATTGTGGGTTCGATCCCCAGTAGGGGGCGTGCAGGAGGCAGCCGATGGGTATTTTCACTCTCCCGTCGATGTTTCTCTCTCTCCCTCTCCCTTCCCAGCTCTCTAAAAATCAACAAACTATTCTTTTTTTAAAAAAAAATTTTTATTGATTTCAGAGAGGGAGGAAGAGATAGAAACATCAATGATGAGAGAGAATCGTGGATTGGCTGCCTCCTGCACGCACCACACTAGCGATCGAGCCCGCAACCCAGGCATGTGCCCTGACCGGGAATCGAACTGTGACCTCCTGGTTCATAGGTTGATGCTCAACCACTGAGCCATGTGGGCCACAATAAACTATTCTTTAAAAGAAAAAAAAGTGGCCTTTGAAATGAGTTGTAAATGGTAAATGGGAATTCCCTGGGTGAACGGGAACAGGAGGCAGCATTCTGGGAGAGATGCATTCTGGGAGAGATGGTAGACAGGTTCCTAGGGCGCCGGAGCGATGCAAATCCAAAGTGCGGTAACTCAGGAGAAGAAATTTCTTTAAAGCTCATGATCTAAGAACCAGAATAAAAATGGACCCGTCTTGAGGCATAATAATAACTTGTTACTATTTCACTAATCACTCAACCATCTCCCCGCTGAGTAAAAGCTGTGTTACCGTCTCTTTTCTAGTCTCATGTTTGCCCACCGCCCGCGGTCTTGGAGGGAAATGCCCATTCGATTTGCCGACTTTGGGGTTCTTCATAGAAACGAGCTGTCGGGAACCTTGAGTGGACTGACCCGGGTTCGACGCTTCCAGCAGGACGACGCCCACATCTTCTGCACCGTGGAGCAGGTGAGCGGTGCCAGGCAGCGCCCACTCCGTGGTGTCTGGTCTCACAGCATTGCTCAGTCCTTCAGAGTCGCTGTAAACCTCATAGTTCAGTCTCGTCTGTGAGGTCTCCTTCAGCCTCATGTTCTGTGATTCTCAAATTGGGGTCTCAGATCAGTAATCTCTTTAACATATATATATATATATATATATATATATATATATATATTATTTTATTTCAGAGAGGGAGAGAGAGAGAGAAACATCAATGATGAGAGAGAATCATGGATCAGCAGCCTCCTGCACACCCCCTAACAGGGACTGAGCCCGTAACCCGGGCATGTGCCCTTGACCGGAATCGAACCTGGGACCCTTCAGTCCGCAGGCCGACGCTCTATCCACTGAGCCAAACCGGTTTCAGCAATAAAAATAATTTAAAAAAAAATTTTTAATAAAACATTTCATTTGCTCTCATTTCAGATTGAAGAGGAAATCCGGGGGTGTCTGCAGTTCTTGCAGTCTGTTTACTCCACGTTCGGCTTCTCCTTTCAACTAAATCTGTCAACACGGCCGGAGAACTTCTTAGGCGAGCTCAAGTTATGGGACGAGGCTGAAAAGGTAGGTGGGACAAAGCGCTGACTCAGGGTAATGCTCCCGTGGCCGCAGTCACCTGGTGCGAAGAGAGGCGCCCTGCCGTGGGGTTGGACGTGGGAAGCTGTGGAACAAACACGCCAGCTGTAGAACGCAGTTACCCAGCTGTCCCGTCACGGTGATGACAGCAACACTGTACATGAGTCTCACACTTCACAGTTCATACCAAGGTGTGTCTACTCTTTCCAGTGCCAATCACTAATAACCACTGTCATTGTTTGTTTTTGTTTGCTTTAAATATATTTGTATTGATTTCAGAAAGGAAGGAAGAGAGAGAAAAAAATTAATGATGAGAGAGAATTATTGATCAGCTGCCTCCTGCATGCCCCCTACCGGGCATGTGCTCTTGACCGGAATTGAACCTGGGACCCATCAGTTCGCAGGCCAATGTGCTATCCATTGAGCCAAACCAGCTAAGGCTGGGTTTTTTTGTTCTTTTTGAATTTAATTTTTTTTCATATATATACATACATATATATATATATATATATATATATATATATATATTATTGATTTCAGGGAGAGGAAGGGCAAGAGAGAAACATCAATGAGGAGAGAGAATCATTGTCTGGCTGCCTCCTGCACGCCCCGTACTGGGGATCGAGCCCACAACCAGGCACGTGCCCCAACCAGGAGTCGAACCGCGACCTCCTGGTTCATAGGTCGATGTCACGCCAGCCAGGCACGTTCTCATCTTTCTCTTTTCTTTTCTTAACAGCAACTGCAGAAGAGCTTGATGGAATTTGGAAAACCATGGAAGCTGAACCCAGGAGATGGAGCATTTTATGGCCCTAAAGTAAGTGGACCCTGTGCTTCAACAAAGAGGACGGTGGAAAAGAGAAATAGAAACCGTGTCTAAGCAAACCTCACCTGCTTTGCAGATTGACATCAGCATCAAGGACGCCCTGGGCAGGTCCCATCAGTGTGCGACCATCCAGCTGGACTTCCAGCTCCCGCGGAGGTTTCACCTCACCTATGTCAGGTGAGTGGTTGGACGTGGGGAACAGTGCAGGCGACATCCTCGTCACGTGGCGCCGTGAGTGTCGAGAGCTCTTTATAGAGTCTAGGTGTAAGCCCTTGGATGTGTATGTGATTTGCTAGTATTTTCTCCTAAGCTGTCGCTTTTTTAATTGATTTCAGAGAGGAAGGGAGAGGGAGAGAAACATCCATGATGAGAGAGAATTATGGTGGATCGGCTGCCTCCTGTACGCCCCACACTGGGGAATCAAGCCCGCAACCTGGGCATGTGCCCTGATTGGGAATCAAACCATGACCTCCTGGTTCAAAGATGGATACTCAACCACTGAGCCACCCTGGCCAGGCTGTAGCTTCTTCTTCTTTTTTTAATAGTGCCTTCACTTTCCCTTTCATTTTAAGTTTTGTATTTCACTGATGTCTAAGTCATAGATTTTTTCTCTTACGGATCATGTTTTTGGCATCATGTCTGCACACTTTTTGCCTAAGCACAGGCAATGAAGATGTCCCCTACGTTTTATCTTTAAGTTTTCTAGTATTGAGTTTCACACATACGTCTAAGATCCATTTGGAGTCCAATTTTTGTCTG